GCTTGGGTAGTGTTTTCACCCGATGAGATAGTATGAGTTATAATATAAGTAGTAGTAGTAGTAGTAGTAGTAGTAGTAGTAGTAGTAGTAGTAGTAGTAGTAGTAGTAGTAGTAGTAGTAGTAGTAGTAGTAGTAGTAGTAGTAGTAGTAGTTAGAGGAAAGCATGGAAAGGTTTAGTAATCTGACAAAGGGAGATAGTGATGAGGCAAATTATGTTATCGTAGTCATGCACCCAGTAAGTTATTACTTATAAGTATTTCCTTATGGGTAGACTAATAAGTGATGAGTTTGTGTAGATTTCATTATAAGAGGTAAAGAATTAGTTACTAGTCAGGATGAGTTAGAGTATACTTTAACTAGAAGAGAACTTATGTCAATGTAACATTGTGTTAGTGAAGGCCAAGTATAGGTGTGGAATAAAATAGTAGAGTATTCATGATGTGATAGCTCTAAACTAGGCTTATGATTCTAAGGGAAAGCCCATAATATTCAGAGGGTTACAAAACTAATTAGGCAATGATGTATAGCGAATGGGTACATAGTACTTAAGTTGTGAAAGGCAGTGTGACGGTAAATTGTAAGTATGAAGACTGAGAGATAAAGATTGACTACTTGTCATGAGGTTTTAGTGGGCGAGTGTTCCGTAATTTGTATCTAGTAGTTGTAAGTTAGTCTAGTAAGCAAGCAATTATATTGATATATGTGTTATGTAATAGACACTAGGCTTGAATTGGAAATGAGTGTCGTGATCACAAGAATGGCAACATGAGGGTGATAATGTTAGTTTTGAGATCTGATCTGGTAGACTTGACATAGAGTAGGTGAGGAATTAAGATGTTAGTTGCAATGAATGTGAGTGGTACAAGTGCGAGATTTTGACTCTTAGATGAGATCAAGGTAGTGTGGCTAAGTCATTAGATTAACAAGAGCATTAAAAGGTGTACCCGAGATCGTATGTATTCAGACGAGGTTCCGATTAAGTTAATGATTTTTCATGTGTGCCTAGATAGTATATTTGAGCTATTTATGTAGAATAGGCTGATGTAAGCATTTTTTCCCCTTAAGAGTCAAATGAAGAAGCCTTATAAGCCAATGAGACAAGTTTAAGAGAAGCATCTGAGAAAGAAGACTTAGAAGGAATCTTGGTGCATGTGCATGGAGAGTTAGCATCTTCTGAGTAAATAAAAAGGAAATATATACTAGTTTGGAGATGATGGAATAGATCAATATCTTTAAAGTGTTAGTTTCAAACCTAGGGGGGAAATGATAAGATGAGAAACCAAGTCAAGTGTTGAGGATGAGATAGTGATGTTTTCATAAATAGTTTTAGAAATATATCAATCCGTTCATAATCTTGCGTATTTCTTAAGTGAAGTTATTACAACATCTTGTTGATATTCCTAATATTAGAATTGTGTCTATGACCTATGCTTATACACTTCAGAGAGATTCACATTTATGCTCCGTTTCCAGAATGAGGAGCAAAACTTTTTTCCCATTGATCTCAATCTTACTCCATAAAGTTATAGATATCAGCCCCATGATATGAACCTATTCATATAAGCACTTATGTCTCATAATATGCTCACTCTCGTAAATTCATAATTTAGTCTCAAAGGCTAGCAACATAATGTTACGTCATTCATATTCTTACATCAGATTTCTCGAATGAATCATGCTTATTATCTTTCTCTCTAAAGCTCTTTCAGTGATCCTTTTCAGTTTTGATAGCGATGTTGTCGATAGTAGTTAAGTAATGATAGAAGGAGAGGTTTTATGTTTCTTATTGTGGTAGTGGTGGTCTTTTTCTTCCATCTAAGGTTATAAATATGGAGGAAGAAGAGGATGAGGTTTTACTATGAGTAATAGTTCAATGAGAGCAATTAGTCAGTTTCTAGTAGTAATGCATGAAATTTAAGTTGGTAGAGATGATGAGCAATTCATAGAAAGAATAGTTAGGCGGAGTCCATGGAGTGGTTATAATATTAGTCTTGAATGTGGTGTTGTTAACATGTGGACAAATGCATGATGCATTAGGTGTTTTTTTTATATGAGCTCAAGGTTGGTTGAAGACAGCTATAAGGAGAAGTATTCTTGGGATGAGATTCCCTATAGAGGTATAGAACCTGAATCTTGTGGTTTAGATAAGTATAAACATCTCATGATTAGCATCTTGTGATTTAGAGATTAAGCTTGAACACAATAAGAGCAGACAATTTAACTTAGACCTTGGTAAGAGTAGTCATAAATTCTTGTAGGAGTTCTAAGTTGCAGCTAATGAGGTGTGATATTCATTAAGAAGGGAATGGTTTAGAGGTGTTGCTAGTGCTTGAAAGCTAGCAGTTGTATTGCTTAAGGCATAATAGTCGTATTCTTACCCCATGCCTAGATTCCTTTGATTCATGTAAGATAGCTTTAGATAGAGTATGACTATATGTTCAAAACAATATCGTTCTTGACTTATGTGTTATAGACAGTTCAAAGCTCATAGTATGAATCAGTTCTGCCTATGTTAGTAGGCAAGTTCAAAAGTCAGAAAGATAGTAAGAGTAACTCTTTTCTTTTCAATTCTCGGTCCAGTCGTCATTCGAGGATGAATGATCCCAAGGAGGAGATATTGTAACACCCCAAAAATTTCAAAGTTAAGACTCGAACCATTCTTCATTTGTGAATAAGATTGTACTGGGTGATTCTTAAATTTTCCATATGTGTAAAGTTCAATTATTTAGTGTGGGAATGAATTTGGATATTAATTAAGGTCACTAGAATCTCCTAGCACAAAGTTGAGTTAAGAGTTTCATTACCGATTAAGTTTTGATGTAAGATTCTACTTGAGTCAACTTCAAACGACCATATCTCTTAGAATGTAAAGAGTTATGTGACCCATTACCATCAAATTAAAGGTAGTTGAATATTCTTTCTAACTCCACCAATTTCGCAACAATCCGAGTTCCGAGTAAAAAGTTATGACCATTTTAGTAATCTGCTACAGTGTTGTGACGAATTAACCAACGGAAAAACATTAAAAAGGGTCATTTTTTGTCGTTTTACCTCTAACAAAACCCTAAACGATTTACTTAACTAATTAAAGGCCCAAAACAATCAGATTTTCATCCCTTAATCCCTCAGTCTCTTCTCTCTTAAACCCTAAGGAAAAATCAAAGTAAAAGACTCCATTCAAGATTTTTTCAATCTTTTCCAAGATTCTCCTTCAAGGTAAGTTTTTCACCAAGAATTTCATTCTTTCCAACTCAAATTCCTCCATACAATTATGAATCACTAATGAAAATCATAATTCTTGGTCATAGAGATTTCAAGAAACTATTTTAAGTATCTCAAGAAAGATTTTCTTGATTGTTCTCCTTCAAGATAGGGTTTCAAGGCTTCTAGTCAAGTTTCTCTTCAAGATTCTTCAAAAACCTTGTTCTTCCAGGTATGTAAGACTTTCATACTGTTGGAATAGTTTGTCCTCACCCCCTACATCTACTTTCAAATCAGTAAAAGAGTAATCTAGGATTCTATCCTTAGATTTGAGTATTCTTGAGATGAGATTTGAGTTTTTGAGTTCCTCATTCTTTTTGAAATTATATTCCTAATTATTGAATTGATATATGTTATGCATTAAGATTCTTGAGTTGATTTGTTCATGTCTATATTTCAGCATGAACCCTATAAATTGAGTATTCTTGAGATGAGTAGTACCGTTGAGTTTTGAGTATTGAGTTTTTCTATATTGTTACTAAGATTCTTGAGTTGATTTGTTCATGTCTATATTTCAGCATGAACCCTATAAATTGAGTATTCTTGAGATGAGTAGTACCGTTAAGTTCTGAGTATTTAGTTTTTCTATATCGTTACTGAGATCCTTGAGTTGAGTTGTTCATGTCTATATTTCAGCATGAATCCTATTTTGAGTCATAAATTTTGAGAATCTTTTAAAGCCAACATTTTTATCTTAAACTGAGTTTTTGAGAAAGTAAAGATGAGTTTTAAGAAAAAGAGTTTTTAAAACATGATTAGTATGACAATCGAGTATGTCAATAATGTTTAAGCAGTATGGTATCTAGATATACCATCAATATTTATGCAGTATGACTTTCCGAGTCATCAATGATCATTCACAATATGATTTTGATATTTTTTTAGAAAGAGTTTACAAGTATGAATTGAGTAAGAGTATAAGGGAACAAAGTATTCCCAAAAATATCAGTTTTTACATTGAGAAAAGAGAAACTTTGATGTCTAAATAAGTTATGAGTTCAAAAATATTTCAAAAGGAGTTACCACTTTTAAGGGGATAATTTGTAACTGCTCTATTTATAATTGTAGGGAATAGATAAGGTTGCTTGTAATTGACTAAGACATGTTATTTTAGACACTTGGTGGCTTTTGACTGGCTCTTGAATTTGACTGAAATTGTTATATCATTTGAGCATGTGACATCACCTTATTAGTCTGGAATTTGATAGGAATGTCAAGTCGTGATCTTTTGATGCAGGACATGAATTTGGGCTTGAAGCCTAAAATGAAGCTTTGATTTGAATTTAATTTTAAAGTGTACTTATTTATTTGTAAAGAAAAAAATAATTATTCAATCCAAATAAACTATGTATTTAAGCTAAAAAGAAATGCCCTAATGCTAATGATAATACACAAAATTGAACTAAATCAACAATACTATGGAATTACTGGAAATATAAGTCGTTTATTGATGCAATTCCAAACACTAATATTACACTGAAAGAAAACAACTTTCATGAAAGAACTTAGATCGTCATAAATATGCAACAGATACATGAATTAGTCACTTATGAGCAAATCTCAGAAGAAATTTAAAAAGTTCATAGGGTTTAGACATCATGACCATATGGTCAGCGCCTTGGATCTCTTTCACTTCATCAGGTGGATTTCTTTCAATCATCAATTGTTGAAATTCTTTTTTTAGAAGTTTATCTTCTGGAGTAACAACAAGCGCTCGCCTAATTGATCCATATCTTTTCCTCGAAAGAATTATCTCGTTAGAAACATCCTCCACACTGTAAAAAAATATTTCCCTTACTAGTGTAGTGGCCAACGCCAAATCCTAACACCAAGAAAGAAAAATAAACCAATTTTACATCAGTTTCAAGTTGCAATCAAGTACTTGAATAAATATGTAATTTGTATTACCTCAATTGGGCTCTGTTGGTAAACATTACTTGCTAAGTACTTCGGACCTAAAATGAAGGTTGGAGGATTCGAAGTCCCATTATGGTATATAACACGATTATCAAGTTTCGATACTACTGCATTGCATAACTATAACGAAGTATATTTAGATACCACTGCATTACATAACATATTATCTCATGGCTAAATATCGAAATATGGAAATTTGGTACCTCAATGTAGACAGTGCTTGCATTGATATTTGGACCAGGCTAATTAGACCAGCTACAAATACAGCACCTGAAATTTTTTCTGGAAAAAGTTCCATGGCTTTTGAAATGGCTATAAAGAAAATGAAGATTGAATGTGTGGATCTTAGGTTATAATCAAGAATTTCACGATACCTATAATTTGTAATCAGTTTATTTTAACAACTTTTTTACAACACTATTTTGACTACTTTTGATCACAATATATTGCCTACATTAAAATGTTAACATGTCTGGAAGTCCAAACTTTAAATTTTCCAAAGGCGTAATACATAAATATGCCGGTTAATTTGATATCATCTAACAACTATAACGTCTAATTTGGGTGTGCACAAGTAGACACTTAAATGTGTATGAAGTTGAACAAGTGGAGACACGCATCCTACATGGCATAATACATGTAGAATGTCACGTAGGATGCAAATTGCCACATAGGATGCTAAGTAGTACGTGTATGTCTACACAAATTAGAAAATCAAGACGAATATCTTCAGAATTCTTTTGTGTCACCATAGTCTAATAATTGTAATGTACCAGATTTTGAAGCTTTATCTGATTGTACATAACTACAAACAAGAACACCTTCAGTTCAACTCAACAGTAATCATCAATTAGTTAAGATTGCAAATTAGTTGAAAAGTTTGATTGCATTTCAGATGAAACATTATTTTCCAAATCGCAATTATCTCATCAGCAATTTTGGGATGAGAAACTAAAGCTTAGTTGCTTAAACTAAAACTAAAACTAAAGTTGGGTGGTTTAAAATGTTGTCATTCTGTGCATACACTATACCATACATCTGAAATTATCCACGAAATTGTTGTATTCAAAGAGTTCTAACGTAGTTCTTGATTTTAGTTCAATTCTTGAACAACGGAGGTTGTGACTTGTGAATTCTTTTGTGTTGTTGATCTTTGGTAAAAGTTATTTTTCCCAAAAGGATTGTTGGAATTCCTCATGTATTCATGTGAACTTCTTGAATATCCTAATTTTTTTATTCATCCACTTTATAATTAATAGGAGTATTCCTGTGAACTTGAATATATTAAGTTTTTTATTCATCCACTTCATAATTAATAGGGGTAAAATGATAAACTTACTGTATCAATTATTGTTTTCTTAATAGGTGTGTCAATTCAAAAGTGGACAAGTAATTAGGGACAGAGGGAGTATGATGTAAATTCAGATGTTCTCTCTCACACTCATGGCTAGGCGGGTTGCAATTTTTTTCATCAACAATTGGTGAGTCCTCCTCATTCGGAGACTTCATAAAGTAGTAAGTAGTTAGTGATGGAAAATTATATGCACAGCGAAAGCATACTAGAATCTTATGGCTTACATGAATAATAGATAATCAATACCGTTTATGCTAGAACACATAATCATGCTAGAACACATAAACTTGTTGAATTTAATTCGATAAATACCTCTTGAAGCGTGAGCAGATACCTTCAAACGAATCCCCAAGTTAGACGGACCTTCAAGCGAATCCACAAGATAGACAACAACTATGGTCTTCTACAGTGATCCCAAGTTCACATCTGAACTCTCTCAATACTTGGGTGGGCAAGTATGAATAGAAAACTAATCAATCTAGGGCTAGAAGAATCCCTAATTATAGACATTTTTTCACAGCCCAAAGAGGAGAACCAAACACACGTTATTTTTCTTCAACCGAAAAATACACGTAAGAAAACTAGCGTCTCTCCCTTTTTCCCTTTAGAATTAGGATTCTAAGTTCTAGTTAAATATGGGCATTGGAGGGACCACATAATTAATTACTGAGGCTTCCTATTATGGAAATAATTTCAAATAATTAATTTGAATTA